CACTTTGGACAATTTTCCCTGCAGGTGACCGGCCGGCCACCTTAACTGGTCGGTAGGTTACCTCAATTGGCCGGGCGGCCAGTGCAAGTGGTCGGTAGGCTAGTGCAAGTGGCCGACCGGTCACCTCTCTTTCCAGAATTCTGCCTTTACTGCAACAGAGAGCAATAGAGCCAAGGCGATGTATTTGGTAATAAATGTGTGTACTACCACCCTCCTCATCATGTCTCAAGCTCAAAGGAGTGTGGTACTTGACTCTCATGCCACCAATCAAGCATCTCAACGCATCATGGCCCAAGAACCAAGCTTGTACAAGCTTTAGTGAATACACACATAAGACTCAAAGTGTCGTCACCCTATCATGCATGATCAAGGGTGACAACGACCAAGAAACGCGACGCATTTCATCACTTTGAGTATGAAACGTGCCACATTTCTTGTGTTTGGATTTAACGTCCGACCCAAACACATGCAATGCCACACACATATGTTATCTTGGCATGTTTTACTTTGCTCAATTCTTGTTTACACATTTTAGCTTTCCAATTAGTCCTTTAACCGGTTAAGTTCAATGTGATTGTCCTCTAATGGGAAAGATGGCTTAAGCCACAAGCACCTTAAGCATGAAAGAAGCCTCATGCTTTTGGTTAGTAGAAACCCTCAAGAGAAGGCTAAAACTATTAGGCATGAGAGCCTCGATTCCATGCTTAAGCCAACAAGGGGCTAAAGACCTCTTTCAAAGTGAATGAAAGAGTGAAACAATGGAGTGCAATGGCATATATTTCAGCACTGAAATGACATGCTAAATAACTTAAAATCATGCAAACAAACCATGCACAACATGTTAAGAGTCAAAAGCATTGGAACTAGTGAAGGACACAACACTAGAGGTATGCAATACAAAGCTCAAATGACCAAATCAGCTATGGACAGACCTAAAACATGCCAAATTAGTGGCCTAATCATGCTAAAACTTAGGCCCAAAAGGCAAGAAAATCATGCGCACATGTTGGCTCGCAAGCAAGGCATAATGCGCAATTCTCAAAAGCCATTAAAGAGTGAAATATGTGAGAGTATGACAATGATATATGCTCTAAAATTACATGCTAAATGATGCTATATCATGCAAACAACCCAAGCAAAGCATGCTGAGGGCCTCAAAACACAAAGCTAGTCAAGGCATTCACACTATGGCCATACAAGGCAAGCCTCCAGGGACTAAGACCACTTCAAACAGAGGTTAAGCATGCTAAAATAATAGCAAAAATGTGCTGGAGCTAAGCCAAAACAAGCTAGATCAATAGGCTAAAACATCAAGTATGCTAGGCTAGTAAGCGTGATTGCACTACAAGTACCAAAATCAAGCCACAAGTGACCCAACCAGCTAAAAATAGAGTTAAATCAGGTCAAAATATAGCCTAAAACATGCTTGAACTAAGCTTCAAAAATGGAGAAATACATGATCATTTGGTAGGCCATCAACACATGTAAACAAGACAAGAGGAGAGGGGACCACCCCCTCCCATTTTGGACCTCAAAATCACATTTCCACCACTGAAATTCCTTTAGAATTCAATGGTTAAAAGACCAAGAAAAGGTTGTTTCAAAAGGTTTAAAAAGAAGGCTCAAAAGGCTTTGCAAGCCAAAAAGCAAAGGGAGGAAACCACCCCTTAAGCAACAAGGCTCAAACCACCATTTTAGAACCTTAAAATCAGAATTTTTTGCAGTTGAAAAACCAGGTCAAAATGGCTTAAAGAGATGGCCAAGTACTTAGCTAAAACAAAGCTTAAAAGGGACAAGTTCTTACCCTTGAAGCACAGTTGCAAAACAAGTCTTTCTTTCTGAGCCAAAACTAGCTTTAGGAGCTCCAAACAAGCTTTAAGGAACCTCAGCTCCAAGATAAGGATGGTTAAGGGTCTCTTTGCAAAAGTGTAGAGGATTCTAAGCTTAAGGCTCAAAACAAGAGGAGAGAGAGAATTCTAGAGGGAGAGGCTGAAATTTTGCTCACAAAATTATAGAGAGAGAGAGAGATTTTAGAGAGAGAGGCTCCCAAAATTGCTCACCCCCCAATATATGAGATATGGCTTCAATATATAGCAAAAAGAGGAGCCTTGGTCAAAATATTTGAGCTAGGATAGTTGGCACATTGTGAAAATAGCGGTAGGCTACCTCAACTGGCCGGCCGGCCACCCCTGTGGCCGACAGCAAAAATTTACTCTGCAGTTCAAATTTCAAATAGGCATATCTCCTTCATCTAGACTCCTTTTCAGATCATTTTTGTGTCCAAATTGAAGCCCCGGAAGTAAGCTTTCCAATGGTGGCAGCATCACATCAAAATTCCAACTGTAAAAAAAGTTATGCTCCTTTAGTGAAGCCGCTCAGTTTCTATCTTTCCTGAATTCATGCCGAACTTCTCCCAAACTAGTTTTCTTCCCTCCTCTCATCTTTTCTTCAACTTCAAACCCCTAAATAAGGTGTTTTGAAAGATTTTTTAGAGATTTCACTTTTCTTTCATTCATTTTCACTTTGTCCTTGCTCGGTTTACCGAAAAGCGCGACATTTAACAAAATGCAAGTGTTGGAACATCGTAGGAACTTTTTCAAAAACTATTTTGAAAGAGAGGGTTTCAAGGTCTAAAATCTTTTGATCAAGATTGTTTTAGTCCAAAAGGGATATGAAGTTGGGATTTGACTCTCCTCTTGCCGAAGAAATTGAACCTTTACACTGCATAACTTTCACCACCAAGTAAATAATTAGTAGCGCCCAAGTCCTAAGAGCGATAAAAAATGGGGTGTTTACACATGCCCCAGAAATGCCACGCTGTCAAGCCAAAATTCACATTTGGAAAATTTTGCATATAATTTCTTTTCCCTTAGGGTCTGTAAAGTAACTCTCAGTTGATTTTCATATTCTTCCCTACTTTTAGAATAAATCAATATATCATTGATGAACACAACAATAAACTCATCAAGGATTTGTTTGAACACTCTATTCATTAAGTCCATAAACGCTGTAGGTGCGTTAGTTACTCCAAATGGCATTACCAAAAATTCATAGTGTCCATATCTAGTTCTGAATGCAGTCTTCTCTACATCTTCTACCTTAACCTTTAATTGGTGATACCCAGACCTAAGATCTATCTTAGAGAATACTTGTGCTCCCTGCAGTTGGTCAAATAAGTCGTCTATTCAAGGCAACGGATATTTGTTCTTGATCGTTACTTTGTTCAACTCACGATAGTCAATACACAGCCTCAAAGACCCGTCTTTCTTTTTGACAAATAACACTAGAGCACCCCAAGTTGAAGTGCTTGGGCGGATAAACTTCTTGTCTAACAGTTCCTGAAGTTGTGTTTTCAATTCTTTCAATTCAGAAGTAGACATTCTGTATGGGGTTTTAGAAATTGGTTGTGTCCCGGGTACTATATCAATGGTGAACTCAATTTTCCTATCAATTAACTCCCCAGGTAGGTCAGTAGGAAATACATCAGGAAATTCACAGGCCACAGGGATATTTTCCACACTAATATTATTTGAAGATATAGTCAACACACAACACAAATAGCCTCGACAACCTTTCCTTACCAATTTCCTAGCTTTCATAAATGAAATCAAGTATGGCGGAGGAACTATCCCATTTTCAGTAAAAACAAACTCAAGTATGCCAGGTGGTCTAAACACAACAGATTTACTACCACAGTCAATGGTGGCACGGTATTTAGTCAACCAATCCACACCCAAAATACAATCAAAATAATCAATGCTCAAGGGCAACAAATCAACGTACAATGTTATTTCACCAATTATAATATCAGAAGCCGGATAAACATAAGCACATATCATAGATCCTCCAGACGGTGTAGATACAGATAGTAAACAATTCATGGGTTCTAACGGTCTAGTTAATTTTCGAGAAAAGCATGCGATGCAAATGAATGCGTGAAACCAGAATCAATCGGCACATAGGCATTTTGAGCGCATATAGAGATTATAGTTGACACCACTGACTCAGTATTCTTTACATCCACTACTACAAAAGCAGTTAAAGTTTGTGTGATGTATGTTATTTAATCATACCTTTTAAATTTTATCAAAGTGTGATGTATGTTATTTAATCATACCTTTTAAATTTTATCAAAGTGTAATCTTTGAGAGTGTGATGAAAAAGGGTCACTTTTAATCACACTTTTTGAGTGTCATTAAAAGATGATTTTATCACATCTTTTAAGTGTGATTAATAACATTTAGATCACATCTTTTAAGTGTGATTAATAACTAATAAAACATGTAATAATAAACATTTAGATCACATCTTCTAAGAGTGATTAATAACTTTTAGATCACATCTTTTAAGTGTGATTAATATCTAATAGAACATGTGATTAATAATGAGATAAGATTACATATTATATGCATTTCTCATCACAGTTAATACACACTATATATTATACTTTGAATCACAACCACATATTGAATGGAATAACGTCATATATTTCATAAATGAAAGTTAAATGTTCAAAAGTATATACAAAAGAATTAAATAAAAAGTTTTTAACTATGCTTACATATATTAAAAAATGAAAAAACTTAAAAAAAAGTAAGTTCTTGAATTCTTTGACCATATTTTGCATCTCTCCAAGAAATTTCTAACCTGAAAAATGAAAACACAAATTAATTCAGAAACCGCTAGAAGCACATAAATAAACTAATTATTTGTAGAGAATGTTCTTGATTTCTATATAATCTTTTGTAGTTGTATGTTCGCATTAACTAATAGGCATGAGAATTCTAACTAAAAAAAAATGAAAACAAGTGTCACTACGTTTGCAATAGGGCAACCCTATTGCATGAACAATAGTGGCTTTTGCCAAAGCAGAGTATAGTTGTTTAAAGCAATTAGCAATTAGCAATTAGCAATTATACTCTACTTGAGCAAAAGCTATAATTGTTCTGGCTATAATAGCAACCTAATAGCAAAGGACCACAAAGTATATAGATAACTGCACTCCCAAAAATAGAGATATAGTAAAGCATATACCAAAAGCAATACATGTGCGTTGCAAATACAGTTTTACCAATCATTGGAATGAATCCTGCATCAAATTCCTAATTTACAGAGTTTCCATACAACAACACATGTCAAAGACAAACCAACAGAAACAACTATTTTGAAGGACACTGAAAAAATTGACATCAACTAACTTAAGTTTTTCCTGAACTGCACTGCAGAATTCATCTAATCCATCACCATTTACGACAGAGATGCATACTATGTCTTTTCTTTTCTCTGCTTCCAATTTGATTTTCAGAGGATCACTGGCTTTATCAGTCTGTTGTGAATAAATGTATAAGTAATCTTGTGGCTTCCCTATAACACAAGAGGTACTATGGTCATAATCAAGCACTTGTCACTAACAAAATAATGAATGGTCAACATCAACAACAAGCTTCACATTCCAGATAAGCATCTCAAACTTGAAAAAAGATCAGTTTTGTAGAAAACTAGTAAGAGTATTAAAGGCAAAACATCCTTTCCCAGTTTGGACAAAATGGTTTAAGTCTATTGTGCACTCAATAAATGCTTCAAGTGGCAACCTATCACTTAATTTAAATGAATCATTATTAAAAATGACAATAACATCTTCAGAATGCAAGCTCTAGTCCTAAACAGAGAGAATTGCACAGAAAAAAAATACAAATACCGGCCAGTTGATTCGAATTAAGAGTTGATATTATGGCAACAAGTATGAGTAAATTGACATCAAATTACGAAGTTATAAGACATTTATGTTTCAGTAGAACAAGGGATTTTCCTTTGCTTGGTTCTCAAGTTCCATGAGTGACAAGACAACAAATTTCACCATCCCATGGCCAGCATGCATTACTATGATACTAACAAGGTTGTCTGGATTTAAGATTGATAAAAGGTATCTGACACCACAGAAGGCAATGAATCGAAGCTTTGCACACAAAAATGTAACTTTAGAATTAACAATTATTTCCCCTAATGGATTAATATAGAGGGTGTCCGCCCCCAATGTTGTGACAAGGATTCAAGTCATGGGAATCAGCTTCACAGTCATCCATAAGCCATATAAACTTTTTACATGTACATCATGCATAACCAAAATGATTTGCTAATTTCAATCCAGTGGTAAACAAAAAACCTGATTTCTCTTGCTTGGGTGTTTCTCTACTCTATCGATGAACTGGCCAATCTTCTCATCAATTTTCTTTTCAAGTTCCACGTCACCACATTGCACCTATGCAATAAAAATTTCAGGCATTAATGATAAAAATTATATACTGCCAAAATAAAATTATCAATTTTAATCACTCCTATGGGTATAGTGCAATTAAATTGAATATTCTATAGCATATTGTACACCATCAGAAAAGCCAAAAAAAAGGTATACCATTTGCACTATGGCATAGCTGCTCAGGTATATAGGCAAAGAAAATAGCATGTGGCATTTTGAAACAGGGAAGTCTGGGATATCCAAAGAACTCTTTTTCTTCACATAACTTACATGGGGATTGCCAAGTAACTGTCTATATTCTCAGTCCAATAAAACTAATAGCACCCAACAGTGCTGTTAGAAAATGTTTCTTATCAACAATGTGGAGGATTAACTTTCTAGAACAGTATTTCTCCGATGATAGTCTGAAATTGGTAAATAGATTGAACTTATAGGCTTGGAACAAAATCAAGTATGTATGACATTAATAAGGGGAAAAAGTTTAAAATATAAACGTTAACTAATCATAACCACTGGATCTACTACCTCAAGAAGTCAACTCCAGCAGTGTTTAGGCAGTGGTTGTGAAGCAAAATTCAACAAAAGGCTATGGTGTTGACTTGTGGAGAAAGTGGAAGGACAATTGCAGAGTAATTAGAACAGTGTGGTAGAGGTGGAAATTCTGTAGAGTAACTGCTAGGGGAGCAATGGTAGATTCCTAATTTCTAATTCAATTCAATGAGAACATGACCTAGTTGTACAATGAGTCAGTGGTCGGCGTAATGGCATAGTTATGGCAGATGTGGCGATGGTAGTTACACTATATGGGCAAGGGTAGTGATTGCAATTTGCAAGTGAGGTGGAGGTAGTTAAAAAAATACAAAGTGTTAAATAGCATCATTGAGGCTCACCTCGAGGCAAGGCTAAAACAAAACACATCGAGACTTTCATTTTTTGGGAGACAATTCCCAAAGGCTTGGGTATCACATAGCCATGCACCTTAGTACACCTCGTAAGCCTTTTGCATACAAGCATATGACAAGTATGCAGATGGAGAGGTTTTGGACTTTTACTCTCTCCGTTCCAAAATAATGGTCCATTTTGGGGAATTCAATTTTTTTTAGTAGTACAATTATTACACTACAAAAAAAAAAAAGAGATTTTTTTGGTAATTCAATTTCAGCTTCAAATCTTTTATTTTGTCTAAGAAAAATGCATTAAAAATATGGCAAGATAGCAACAACAATTTGTTAACCCACTCATAGCATTAACACACAAAACAGCCAGCTTATTCTCACCAAAATCAATTTCAATCATTCCTCCAAAATTAAACAAAAGCAGTAGGGCAAACAAAGTTGAAATATATATATATATAGAGAGAGAAATATAGAAAATGAAATTAGAGTTGAGATTAGAAGTGTGGGCACTCTCACCTTCTAATCTATTAAGCCTCCATCACACAGGCCTCCATCACACAAATCTGAATTGAGACTAGCATTTCTTTATATTAGATATATATATATATATATAATGGCAATTCCATAGAAGAGAGAAGATATATAGAATAGAACCTCTTCAACTGCCTTCTCTCTAAGGCGTTCTAATTCCAATTTTTGATCCTTATCTACACAACCAAATCAACATTGTACCTATGTTAAGCAGATTATTAGACATGGCTAATTGAAAACCCTAGGAGAAGATTCAAGATTGTAAACCCTAGGAGAAGAATTGATGGGAAGGAAGAGAATATGAAACTGAGATTGTAAACGGCTGTGCTCACCTTAGTAGACGATGGTGCTCACTCTCGCCGGTGCAGACGGTAGTGGCAATGAAGCTTCGAAACCGAGAGAGCCAGAACTTTGAAATTGAGAGAGAACTTCAAAATCAAAATCGAAATTGCTCTGAAATGAATCTCTCGCCCCCTCTCTGACATGAATCGAAATCACTGAGATGAATCATTGTTGATTCGATCGGTTGAGAGAGATTAGGGTTTAGAGAGAGAGAGAGAGTGAGTGAGTGTGTCGGTTCCTTCAAATTCAAAATAAAGATGCCTTTCTTGTTTCTTTAGAATAAGGATGTGCAAATATTAGATATAAAATTAGGGGTATTATTTTTTAAGGTCCCTGATATTATGATTTTATAGTATAAAGGATATCAAATATTTTCATGATGTCTAAGGTCCCTCAACATCAATCCAGAGAAAATTGGTCCCAAAAAAATTGGTCCAGAGAAAATTCAAGTCAGAGAAAATTAGTCCAGAGAAATTCTGGGAAGAATTTCTCTGGACTTTCCAGAGAAATTTTGAAATTTCTCTGGACTTCTCTAAACTTCCCACTGTAAATTTCTCTGTCCTTTTTTTTTTTTTTAAACATAAGAATTCCCATACCTCAACTCACTTCCTTGCTATACACTGCACCTGAGATGGTCTACAAGAAAGATTGTGGCTAGTTTGCCACCAAAGAAACATAACCCAAAATCATCAAAGAAGATTACCTTGATTATGGTTGGATGTATTCTTGGCGGGCTGCTAGTTTTTCTTATTTTCTCTTTCCTTCTTCATATGAACAGACCAGTTGGTGGATGATCCGAGCAGCTAACATGCCGACGAAGCAATATCACCCTTCTCTCCAGAGAAATTCAAAATTTCTCTGGCTGCATGGTTAGAAAAGAAGGTAAACTTAATCAATATTAAAGTTGCATCACAAGTTAGAACTGAAATTTCTCTACTTTGAACTGAAATTTCTCTGGGTTGGTGTAGGAAAATTCTCTGGTTTGAATTGAAATTTCTCTGGGTTAGTCCAGAAAAATTCTCTGATTTTAGCTCAGCTTTAACATGATCTGGATTAGCAGTTGGTTGGTCAATTTTGTTTATGACTGGGATTATTGTCAGGTTAGATTCAAAAGCAAGATAAAAGTTATCAACAGTTCACTCCATTGAGTGAATAAACAACAATAGCAACATATATATATAAATTAAAAGCTAGCCCCAAGCTTCAATGCAAAACCACACCAAGAGGACTTCAGGGTTCGAACCCATCTGTAGTTTGATAGCTGCAGTGACTTGGATACATATTCATAGAGAAAATCTTATCACCAGAGAATTTCTCTGGATTGAATCCAGAGAAATTCTTTAAAACCAGAGAAATTTTCTGCATCACCAAAAAAAAAAAAAAAAAAAAAAACAACCTAAAACAATGGTTTGAATTATTGAATGTCTTTGCATCATCCATTCATCCATCAATCCAAAAACCCAACTCAGTCAAATCTACAATTAACCAACTCTCTGCATATTTATCAAGTTCCTTTTTAATTCTGTTTTTAGTCTTTGAAATTTCTCTGGACACTTCAATCCAGAGAAATTCTTCAACCACCTCACTGTAGCACACAAATAACACACCATGATGCCCACTGAAATGGGTACCAATCAGTTGCAGCTATTTACAAATATCAAGTTCCTTTTTAATTCTATTTTTTTTTTAGAGTACCAATCAGTTGCAGCTTTTCAATCATTTTGAAACTCAAAGATGTAAATTTCATAATTTGAGAAGCATTGTAGTATAACAAGGCACATGTGCATATAACTTAATCCATCCAGCTTGTAAGAGTAAATCCTAGCAGAGAATGGACATTTTTCAAGAAGCACGACCCAACACATTAACGGAGAAGAAGCTCATAAAATTTGAAAGCTCCTCAACTACCTGCAAAGACAAAACCAACTTTTTAAAGTTCAGTTCAGATATATGAATTTGAATTGATCAACACCCAAACAGACTCAAATTGATCAGTTGTAGATTAATATATATATATATATATATAACAAAATATGGATATTTGTAAATAGCTGATCTTTTGAAGTTCAAATATATTAGCCTCAATTAGTTTGATTGAAGTTGCAAAAAATAAAACTTATAAGAAAAGAGAGTTCTATGAGGTTGTGAATAGCATGCTTCAACATGTGATCAGGGACAATTTGCCGCGATCAGATCCAGCAGGTGATGGTCTCGTCCTCCGCCATTAGAGAAGGAAAGGTAGGCCGGGTCGCGGATCCGGGCAGCGCAGAGGTCTGCGACGGTGGCGGAGCGAAGGGAGGAGTCGGAGGAGAAGGTGTTGAGGAAGAGGTCATAGAGGAGGGTGGAGGAGCAGAGCTTGTTGCCTTGGATCTGGAAGACAGTGGGTGAGAGGAGAAGAAAGAGAGAGAGAGAGAGTAGAGTAGAGACAAAGAGTCAAATTTCTCTGATATATGTTTGGGGACCTTAGACATCAAAAAATAATTTTGTGGATCTCTTCCATTACGAAAAGTGGGAGAGGGACCCTAGACCAATTTTCCCATAAAATTAAATTTAAAAAATATATATATATATGATCACACTTAATTAGAAGATGTGATTAAAAAAAAGAGATATAATCACATTTGATTAAAAAGTGACATAGAAAATATATACTATCACACTTAATTAAATTAAGTGTGATTAAAATATTGATTTGATCTTTTTAATCACACTTTCATTAAAAGTGTCATGTTTTAATTTCCTTAAGTGTGATCTTTAAGCAATTTTTGTAGTAGTGATCCCTAGGTAATAATGCAAAAACCCAGTCTTTTCTTAAAGTTTCTCCCCCATTATTGGCCTTCACATTCGTTCTTGGTGCAGGAGCAGATCTAGCTGAACTTGCCTCATGACGGTTAGTCGTGTCGAGTCTCATCGAACAATCTTTAATCATATGGCCTGTCTTATCGCATCGAAAACAAACGCCAGATGCACGGTGACACGTGCCCTTATGCTTTCTTCCACATTCTGGACAAACTGGCATAGACCCACTGCTTTGGCTTGAACTACTTAACGATCCAGTATTTTGCCTTTTGCCTGCAAAGGATGAGCGGCCCTTCCGAAAAATAGATTCAGATCTTTTGCCTATCCATTCAGTTATTGGAGCATTAGTCTGTCTCTTTGCTGCTAGTATGGCCTCTGCCATCAATGTCCTATCAAGTACTTCCATATAAGTAGGCAATTTCAATACGCCTATTCGATCATACACATTCAGGTCTAAGCCCCCTTCAAATTTTTAGGCCTTCTTATAATCTGTGTCGACCATATGAGCAGCAAATCTGGCCAACTCAATAAACTTAGCCTCATACTCGACTACGGACACCCTACCTTGCTTCAATTCTTGGAATTCAGAAACTTTTCGATCTTTAGAGGAAAGTACTTATCATAAAAGATGTCATTGAATTGTGCCCGTGTCATGTTCCCATTATTAGTTTGAATTAACAACCACCATCTTCGAGCTTCATTTTTTAAAGTGTAGGTGGCCAAAAGGACTTTTTGTGTCTTGGAGCACGAGAATACTTCAAATAGCTTCTCCATTTCCAGTAGCCATATTTCTGCCTTTAGAGGTTCAATACCCCCAAAGAAGGTTGGTGGTTTCATTTTCATGAATTTCTGAGTGAGGTTGATTATGTCATTGTTGTCTAGTTCAATTTGCACCGGCGAAAGTGGAAGAGGTATAGGTTGTTGTCTCTGTTATTGTATTTTTGCCTCAGTCAGGGCTGCAACCATCTATTCCATACGGCTCATTCAGGCCTCAGAAGATTCACTTGTATAATTTCCCTTGCATTCTCCATGTTGCTATAGGTAACCAAAGCAATAATAAACATAGGCCAATAATTCTTGTCACTATGCTTGGAGTATAGTTTCAGTTCATGCTTTTCAACTTCATACGTTCATATGCAGTTTCAGTTTTTGCGTTCGCAGAAATTAACATACTCACACATGCAAATGAAATGTCCCTAATTTTTGTTAGGACATCCTATAGCTCTTATGGACTCGTGTGTGTGGTATAACACATGTGCTCTGACACCACTCTGTCACGACCTAAACCCGCCCGTATAGATTTAACATCATAATCGGCCAGTAATCCTTGGATTACCAAAGGTCTCTTAATATAATAACATATAATTAGGAGCTGCGGAAATAAATACACAAAATATATATAGTCCATAGAGCTGTGCAGACATACATGGGACAGAAAATTTGATGCTTTGTAACATATACACATAAGACGACACATCCACATTAGTCTCGCAACACCGTGCAAGCATCAACAAAAGGAACTTAGCCCAGTATATAGATAAACAAAACAACAAAACATCTTCAATAGGTTCACAAAACTTGACTTCTCAAAAAGGAACCTTCCCGGGAGGCACCATGGTTGGCTAATTCAAAACATTCCAGGCAGTAGCTTAGGCCTAGTCACACTCCTGCTCATCTACATGCATAATATAAATAGTGAGCGGAAACCCAGTGAATAATAACAGAGTAAAGGGTTTAAATGAATGATGTCCATAACAGATTCATATACATGAGTTTATATCAAAAACAGATTCTTATTAGAAGCAGAGTCTTATGCATATTCAGATTTTAATTGTAAACAGGTTCATATTCATATTCTTATTTAAATCATATACAGAAATCAGAGTTCATGCTTAATCATACGTGGTACATCCATTAGCGTTATCATGCTTGTCAGTTCCATTAAGGAACCTCCGGTACCGGGAAACTTGTAACATACTTGAGCCACGGTATTATTACCCCCAGGAAAGGGCCTTGAGACCACGGTATTGTTACCCCGGGCAAGGGCCATGACACCACGGTATTGTTAGTCCCAGGCAAGGGCCTTGTACTTGTAGACCACGATATTATTACCCCTAGGCAAGGGCCTTGTGCCAAGGATGCGACAAATACATTTCAGAAATTTGGACAATCATTCATTCATGTAAAACTTCGCATTTCAGGAAACTAATCATTTCATAGCATCAAAAAATAATTAAAGTTAAACATAACTTTATAGAGTTATTACTCATAGATGGCTCTACTTGCAAAATAGACAAGTCAGACAACTTATGGCGCGTGACCTACATACACATAACAGAAACACATAATGAAACACACACTCGGTTGGTACTTAATTTCTTTCATTTCATTGTAGTGTGTTTTTAGGTCTTACCTTTTTATTGTGTCTTAATCATGGCCTAGGAATGCCTAAGATGCAATGTGGATGCCAAAAATGCACTTTGGAACTTTTAACAAAACTTGCTGAAAACAGGGGTTATGCTCGAGTGTAACTTCTCTCGCTCAAGCGGACATGCAAACATGTGAGGGGCCACTTGAGCATAACTTCCTTCGCTCAAGCAGTCTGTAAACTCTGAAAAAGTACTAGTTATGTGAATTCTCCACTCGATGGCCTCTCAATGCTTGCTCGAGCGTGAGATTGAGGTCCCCGCTCGAGTGCAACTTCTGTCGTTCGAGCGGTCTGCAAAATGTGAAAACTTCTGGGAGCTTGTATTTCATGTTTGAGCAGACTTCTGGTCATTCAAGCGGAAGTGCAAGACCTCAGAGTGGTTGCTCGATCAATTAAGGTCAAATGATAAGAAATGTGATGACTTCTCAAAACCAAGTCTAGAGAAACACATGCATGTGAAAATTCTTTAGAAATCTACTCATGATATATGTATGCATGCATGATATGGTTCAATTCTCTTCATTTCTAACTCAATTCTTATATTATCCAACATAATTCTCAAGAGTTCATGTCCTACACATCATAAATGTACAATCTAAAGGTTGAATTCTTACTTAGGCTTGTCAATGATGCTCTAGATGATCAACTGTTGGAAGTTCCAAGCCAAAATCTCTAAGTTCTCTAGCAATCCTCTTAATTTGAGCTCAAACTCCTCTTGCCTCTCTCTCTCTCTCCCACGTTTGGTTTGTGTGTGTAAGCTTAAAGATGTGTTGAAATGAAGAAAAAGAATAAATGGAGGTACAATAGGTGCCTTATATAGGCTTAATTAGGAGTTGGTTAATTAGTTGACATTAATTATTCTAATTTAATCGTTCCGAATCGAATTTTAATTAAACCTATCATAATGTTCTAAAAATTCCAACTAACACATAAATCAAGTCAATTTCGTAATCAGATGCCGATAAGGCTTTAAATTCGCAAAACGAAACATAAATACAAATAGATATTTCTACATTAGACAAATATGAGCATAAATAATGTGACACACATGCAATTTCTTCAGAATTTCACCTTAATTACTTATTAGGCATAATTAATCATGGTTAATCAGCTAATCACAGGTCGAGGTTGTTACAGAAATGTATTAAGTTATGAAATTAACATGATGGTGGTTTGTGTTTATGTAAGTTGAGTAAATAGATAGTTGTCCTGAGATTGATTATGTTGTAATTGTAGATGATGGGGATAAATGTGATCAAGTGTAGAATTCATGTTTTGTGATGATGTGTTGATGACAAACTTAGACATTGTGATAATATTAAAGTTGTGGAAACTTTATGAGATTTTCATTTGTTTCAATTCATGAGAATTGTGCTAGATATTGTTTAGAGTTTTGTTCTTGGCTATCGGTGGATGATGGCATTGATTGTTGTTGAATATATTTTATGTATCTCGTGTTGTTGATTTATTTTGAAATTTAGAATGTTATGGAAATTATCAAACGATACGAAGGGTCCGTTTCGTTCTGGTTTGTGGCTGACAAAGCGTGACAATTTGAGGTAGGTTTCGATTCCTTCCAGTTTGCGCTCGGTAAATTATGTGGAGGTTCTACATTTCTTCTAAATAACTCAAAACAAACACAAATGCATGTGCTTCGATGCAAACTTTCGTATCAAACGAGGCTTTTCTTCAAAAACACATGAAAACCGTTTTCTCTTTCTAAAACCAACTTTAAATCCATGAATGGCGTGTAGAACAGGTTTGATCGTGCAATGCAGCTAGATGATCAATAAGAACAACCAGAGTAGGTTAAGATTCTGACCTCAAAACTCGAATCTAACGGTTAAAGCTCCAACGATCAAGCTTGGAAGCCCCCCCTCTCTAGCTCAAACTTCTCCTCCTTCTAACTAGAGCTTCTCTCTCTAAAAAGGCAAGATTGATACAATGATATGCCTCACACGACAAACTCTGATTTAATCCCTCTGTCGGGACACGTGGCATCGGCTGATTCGCTCAACTCAAAAAGGTGACTGACTTGACAAGACAAGACCAAGACAAAGCGTACTCAACAAGCTAGGCGGCACGAACACACCGGCAAGTAACGACATCGGCTAACAACAAGACTCCGGCAATCAAGGGGCAAGGACATCGGCTTGGAAGGACAACACTTGACTAAACTGTGCCACACCCTGGCCTAGGTGTGCCACACCTCGGTCTAGGTCATACCATTCCAGGAACAAAATCACTCATGCAAGGATCAAGGATCTAGAACGCCTAGATATTAACATCTCGGCCCAGATGATGCACATCTCGGCCTAGGCAACGAGCACCTCGGCCTAGATGGTGACATCTCGGCCAATATGCCAGGGCGAAGATGGAGGTCAATCAACGGGGTTCCAAGATAGTTCTAAGTGACAAAGGTCTCGAAGGTGTCTAGGCTTAAGATGACCTCGGCAACGCACCAGACGAGAGCAAAACTTGTAAGCAATCATTCAAGCAAAACAAGACAGATTGCAATTGCACATATTAAAACAAGATCATCCATAAATGTATGCAAGTATGACTAAGTCAAAATGAGGGTTGTTACATGGAGATCGGCGATCGGTTGTGATCTCGCAGTTAATTCATTGAATTCCTTCACTTTACTAGCCGAATGTAGATCTAGGGATCTGAAGAAATCCGAGGAAATTACGAGGATGCTGGGAACGAAGGAGAGGAAGGACGACATGAGGCTGACACAACCGAACCAAAGAACTTAGCGACAAAGACGGTGGCGTTAGCCTGAGCCTGATGCAATGCAATTCTCATTGCAACGATTTTTCTGAGTCAAAATCTCCAGGGTTAAGAATTCTGATCCAAAACTGATTCAATTTTGTTTGTTTGAGTTTTAAACAATCAACAATGGAGGTTTTGGGGGAGTACTCTCTCTCCCTCTCTCTCTCTCTCTCTCTCTCTCTCTCAGTCCCGTTTGCTAAAACGAAGGAATTGTTTTTTGGTTTTCCCCACTAAAACGACGTCATTTTGGTAGTGGGACACCACTATAATCACTTCACCAAATCGGATTTAGGTTCGATCTTTACCGTGACCCGTTTTCGACATCTTAGGTCAAGTTTGGCATACCTAAAATAATTCATCTTTTCATCTTTTTATTTTTTTTTCATCACATCATCTCTCTATTTTTTTGCACATCTTTTCATAAAAAGACAAAAAATACACTTATTTAGGTCATTCCAAACAACCCCTTAATTAGAGGGTCTACACGGTCTGGATTGGTTTAATTTTGAAAAAATTTAAGAATGAAATCGATTCAATTTTAATGGTTCTATAATTTTGAGAATTAGATCAGGCCATTATCCTTATAAAATCGGACCAGAACCAAATCGAAATAACGGTTTGGTTTCGGTTTGGTTCACAGTTCTAAAAATTTCTATTTACAAGAATAAATGGTTAATATTAGTAAAATAATTACTCAAACTAATTACATTTAACTAATGATAAAAACTAATAATATTAAGACATTACTCAACATTACATGTATATATTATCCTAATATCATTAAAATTACAAAAAAGCCAATTAATAAAAATAAAACTTGACATTATTATATTTTTTAAAATTCAGTTCGATTCAGTTTGAACCGTAATTTTTTCATAAAACCATTAATTAAACCGTTTTTATGGTTTTCATATTTCTTAAACTGAAACCGAACAAATTCTTAATAGAACCGAACCAAATTGTACAATTTGGTCTGATTCGGTCCGAATTACCGGTTTAAACGGATTTTTGAACAGCTCTACTTAATCTTAAACGAAAGTAATTATAAAATAATAAAATAAATTAAAAAAAAATTAATATGATAAAATTTCATATTTAAATTATAATTATTTATTTATTTTATAAAAATTAAAAAGTCAAAAAAATTAATTCAACGAGACTTTTTTTTATCCAAAAAAAAGAAAAAAAAAAGAAGCCAACGCACGTGCCAAACCAACCCTAAGAACTTTGTCGCAGTCCCGCCAACGGCGCCCCTCTTTATTTGCTGCAAAATCCTTTTCCAGCTCTCACTTCTTCTTCTCTCTACTCTGCCTATATATATATATATATATATTTGCCTCATTTGCATCTCTATAGGTGCATATAAGGGTTTAATTACAGAGGTTTGAGTATTAGGGTTTAGGGAGGTTTTGGTAGTATTTGTTGAGAAGACCCTGAAAGAAGAAGAAGAGATAATGGAGGAAGCATCAGAGCATAACAAAAAGCAGAGCGTGCCTGTACTCCCATGGATGAGAACTCCCATTGACGTTACTCTCTTCCATGAATGCCCTCTTAATCTCCTACCTTTTCTTGACCCCAGGTACACATTCTCTCTCTCTCTCTCTCTCTCTCTCCCCGTGTATATAGTTATGTATGTGTTTTGTTGTTTATCTTTCATAGTTCTTAACACAAACTAATTAAATTTGGGAAGAGCTGAATAATTTGAGGAATTGATAAAATTTTCTATTGCTATCACATTTTCTATTCCTCTGACATCTCTCTACATATCCATCTCTGTTGCTTTTGCTTAGGCAAGTGTTTGGTTCATTGGAATGAATTGATCATTACATCAAAATGTTCATTCCCATATTTGGTTAGACTAAAAAAATAAAAGACAAATGTATTACAAATGAAATCATCTTTTACCATTTTAAGGTAATAGGCAGCCTAAGGAATCACCATTTCATTCCATTTCGTCTCATTTCAATGAACCAAATAGAACATTAGAGTTTTTCTTCGATTTGTTCCTCTCATCGTCAGCAGGGAGGGAAGGACCCAGGAATTTACCTTAGCCTTATATACTAATAAATATTAAAAATAAAGGATCATGAACATCAATATCTACAAACAACATTGAAACATGTACATAGAAAGCATTTTTTTTTCTCTTAAGTTCACATTTATTTACAAACTAAAAAAATTGTTGATTGATTTCGTTGTACTTTTGGACAGAGGGGAACAACCAGAAGGATAACTTCTTCCTCTTTGGTTTGGATTGAACCCATCCCTTTGACCTCTCAAGAAAATTACATTTCATTTTTTATACTTGCAATTTTGTCACAAATAAGAGATTTTGCAATTCTATTTGTTGAGACAATAACAAAATAATATTTTTGTGATAAAGCTTATTAAAGCAATAGACAAGATAAGAATTTAATTTATTTCACAAACTTAGGGGGAGCGAGCCTATATAATTTGGAAATTATTAGCATGTATTAGCATAGCAAATGGGATCTCTCCGCCTGTCATCAGGTATGGTTGGTTCCCAAGGTTCTAGCAGCACATTCTTCACAGATTAGGTTTAAATTTGTCTTTTTTCTCCCCACTTCCTCGGAAGAGTTTGTGCAACTAGGATTTATATTTGTCAGCTATTTACTATGGTTTTGGTTGTGCAACTCGATTCTATTTGAAATATTGAGCCTATTTGGTGTAACTTTTGGTAAGTTGAAAGTTGAAAATTAGAAAACAGAAGATAAAATCATTCACCTCTAGTTTTTTGCTAATCAATTATTTTTCAATTTATTTATTTATTTCTAAAGCTATTAAGCAGAAGCTACACCAAATATATTGGTATAAAATTTCAAATTAAAAAAGACTATAAAGAGCCTTAATAAAATGCACATGGCTATTATTGACTTGGTGTGACTGAAGAATGTGGCTGTTTGTTATTAACTTAAATATTGCTACTTTCAACTTTTAGTTTTAATTAAGTTGAGATAACAATTTGATATAATTTGTAGTAAAACAGTTTAAGCTTATTTTCACTTATTTAAAGCAAAATAGGTTGATTTTAGGGTAAATTATACTGACACTTTATGAGGTTTATGAATAATACAAATTCTCCCCCTCAAATTCTAGACATTACATTGGCCCCTTTATGAGAATTTGTCTATTAACACCACTAATATAAAAAATAAAATGACCTTTTACCTTTCTTCCCTTCTCTCTTCCTCCCGTTCAACAAGACCCAATTTTATTCTCTCTCTCTAGTCTCCATCTTAGCCCTAACCATCATCCCCCAAAACACCATCGCTGCCACCCACCAATGGTACTCCCATCTATACAGACACCTTGTTCATACATCATATCAATTAAAAATATTTAGAAAGTTGGCTATTTGACAACACATGGTTGGCTATTTGATTATGTCTAGCAACATCAATGTAATGCATTTGCTTTGCAATAAATAGCTAAACAAGCACATATGTTTCCATGCAAACAAATTGTTATGTCTGTTTCTTGTTGTGCCTCCACCCAACCATAGCCACAACCTATAAAATACTCCATCTCCTAAGAAGCACACACTTCTAAGAAGGTGGCATATCCGTGTCATGTTTGTGTAGGATACAGACACTCGTTGGACACTTTCCGACAAGAGCCTGGCCTTGTCAAAATGTGTCCTATTTTTTTAAAAGTTTTTAGGTCCGGACACTCTTTGGACACTTGTGTCCATTGCTTAAACACATGTGTCCACCAACTAGACATGCATGAAACTAATTATAAGTTTGATCTAAATAACTTAAGATACAATAATAAAAGAAAAAAACAATGTAAAATTTTAAAATAATTGTTATATTACATTTTTTTATTATCTTTGAATGATATATTCATATCTATGACATAATAAATATATAAAATTATATATTTTGTGCATATTCCCCACGTGTCGTGTCCTGCATTCTTTGAAAATTAGCTTGTGGGTGAGTCCGTGTTGTATCCATGTCGTGTCGCGTGTCCATGCTTCTTAGCCCATCTCTTTATTTATTAGCTTTGAGAGTTCAATTCTTCAATTGATTCAACAATTTTACAACAAAACAAAAAGCATGAAGCAACTAATGGTGCCCAAGAGGGTTCCATTGAGTTATCAATTGGAAAAATTTCTTACCATATACCTACCATCACCTACACCATTATCTAGCGTCACCGTCATGGTATCACCCATCTCGAGTATTATTTGAACACCTGGCGCCCCTTTACAATTATTCCTTAATCACCCTAAATCCATCCCACCTAGACCCCAATCCACTCTCCATTGGCCACCCACTCCACCGAAAACCTAATCCACACCATCACTAGTCCTGTAACACCATCTCCCTCCCTATTTCGCCACCCACGTCACCAACCTGAAAAGAGAGAGAGGAGGGGGTAAATCACCTATTGTTGTTCACACTTTGAAATAAGCAAGGTTGTGGAGGAGAACCAACAAGTAGCTCTGATCGACAAGGCTCGTGCTTGAGGAGAAACATCACAACATTAGAGCACCATAGAGGTGGATCGTGGTTGTCGTGATCCTCGTTCTCCCTTTGAAAATGTCATGGCTGTGTGTGGACATGAGATCCCTTCCCTTTCGTTCTCCTTTCTCATAGTTCTCTCCCTCTTTTCTCCCCTCAAACTTTTCGTCAGTGTATATTTAGGGTTTACTAGGTATGGGGTAGGTAATTCGGGTTGGGTTTTGGTTAGGGATTAGGTTTGGATAAGTAAGGTTAAAATTGGTATTTTTATAATTTTTTATGTTGATGTCATCCAAAGTCGTTAGTTGACCTAATCCCCCATTAACAAAATGGGCTAAATGTAATGCGATTTGGAACCTCAAGGAATGCAATGAAATTTTCCATACATCGAGGGGAATTTGTAGTAAAAACAAACCTCAAGGGGGTGTTAGTGTAATTTACCCTTGATTTTAAAAAATTGACTAGAGGGGCTCTTTGTCACCTTTTTACTTTAGTGAGAAATTATTTTAAGTAAAAATTCATTTAAATATAACTCATCTTTCTTAAATATTATCATACCCATTTTTGAATTTCTAGTCAATAAAAAATAAAATGACATTTCACAATAAAAATTCACTCTGTTATTTATTTAAATAAACCTTACTTTGTAATTTAAATTTATTACATTTTTAACATCTATATTTTAATATATTAAAAGGAGCACATAATTTGGTGTTTATGAAGTTTTGTGGACTTCCAATTTTTTTAATGATAAACTTTTCTTATGTTTTAGGGGTGGTTTGGAATGTTTTAAATAAGTGTACTTTTTGACTTTTTATGAAATATGGGTTGGGTATGGGTTGGGTTTGAAGTGATGTGGTAGAGAGGTGATGTGACTTAAATAAGATGATGTGATTTAAAAATCACATTTAGGCGTCACCGCTTTCTTGTTCATCACCTACATATATATAGAGAGGGTGAGCCTGGATACTCAGTGAATGGCATAAATAATAAAGGGGTTTGCATGAATAATAACCGAAATCCTTCCAAACAATACAAGACAAAACTCTATATATATATAACAAGGAATGGACCTCGTCCATCTAACAAATCTTCACAGTTTCAAGGGATACGTACTAGCATCACATATTACAAATAATAACATTTCGGCAAACATATCCACGCGGTAGACCGTCCGTGGCAAAACAAGACAAAGCAAGATAGGCATCTCAAACAAGGGTGCTACAAAAGTTTAGAGTCCTCTAGCACAAGGGACTTTCAAGACAAGATGTGCTGCGAAAGTTTAGAGTCCTCCAGCACGAGGGACTTTTTGAAAATTGGCGTGTCAGTGAGTCCGTGTTGTATCCATGTCGTGTCGCGTGTCCATGCTTGTGTCTTGTATTTTTTGAAAATTGGCGTGTCAGTGAGTCCGTGTTGTATCCATGTCGTGTCGCGTGTCCATGCTTGTGTCTTGTATTTTTTGAAAATTGGCGTGTCAGTGAGTCCGTGTTGTATCCATGTCGTGTCGCGTGTCCATGCTTGTGTCTTGTATTTTTTGAAAATTGGCGTGTCAGTGAGTCCGTGTTGTATCCATGTCGTGTCGCGTGTCCATGCTTGTGTCTTGTATTTTTTGAAAATTGGCGTGTCAGTGAGTCCGTGTTGTATCCATGTCGTGTCGCGTGTCCATGCTTGTGTCTTGTATTTTTTGAAAATTGGCGTGTCAGTGAGTCCGTGTTGTATCCATGTCGTGTCGCGTGTCCATGCTTCTTAGCCCATCTCTTTATTTATTAGCTTTGAGAGTTCAATTCTTCAATTGATTCAACAATTTTACAACAAAACAAAAAGCATGAAGCAACTAATGGTGCCCAAGAGGGTTCCATTGAGTTATAAATTGGAAAAATTTCTTACCATATACCTACCATCACCTACACCATTACCCAGCATCGCCATCATGGTATCACCTATCTCGAGTATTATTTGAACACCTGGCGCCCCTTTACAATTGTTCCTTAATCACCCTAAATCCATCCCACCTAGACCCCAATCCACTCTCCATTGGCCACCCACTCCACCGAAAACCTAATCCACACCATCACTAGTCCTGTAACACCATCTCCCTCCCTATTTCGCCACCCACGTCACCAACCTGAAAAGAGAGAGAGGAGGGGGTAAATCACCTATTGTTGTTCACACTTTGAAATAAGCATGGTTGTGGAGGAGAACCAACAAGTAGCTCTGATCGACAAGGCTCGTGCTTGAGGAGAAACATCACAACATTAGAGCACCATAGAGGTGGATCGTGGTTGTCGTGATCCTCGTTCTCCCTTTGAAAATGTCATGGCTGTGTGTGGACATGAGATCCCTTCCCTTTCGTTCTCCTTTCTCATAGTTCTCTCCCTCTTTTCTCCCCTCAAACTTTTCGTCAGTGTATATTTAGGGTTTACTAGGTATGGGGTAGGTAATTCGGGTTGGGTTTTGGTTAGGGATTAGGTTTGGATAAGTAAGGTTAAAATTGGTATTTTTATAATTTTTTATGTTGATGTCATCCAAAGTCGTTAGTTGACCTAATCCCCCATTAACAAAATGGCGCTAAATGTAATGCGATTTGGAACCTCAAGGAATGCAATGAAATTTTCCATTCATCGAGGGGAATTTGTAGTAAAAACAAACCTCAAGGGGGTGTTAGTGTAATTTACCCTTGATTTTAAAAAATTGACTAGAGGGGCTCTTTGTCACCTTTTTACTTTAGTGAGAAATTATTTTAATTAAAAATTCATTTAAATATAACTCATCTTTCTTAAATATTATCATGCCCATTTTTGAATTTCTAGTCAATAAAAAATAAAATGACATTTCACAATAAAAATTCACTCTGCTATTTATTTAAATAAATCTTACTTTGTAATTTAAATTTATTACATTTTTAACATCTATATTTTAATATATTAAAAGGAGCACATAATTTGGTGTTTATGAAGTTTTGTGGACTTCCAATTTTTTTAATGATAAACTTTTCTTATGTTTTAGGGGTGGTTTGGGATGTTCTAAATAAGTGCACTTTTTGACTTTTTATGAAATATGGGTTGGGTTTGAAGTGATGTGGTAGAGAGGTGATGTGACTTAAATAGGATGATGTGACTTAAATAGAATAGTGACTTTTTGACTTTTTAAGTATATGCCAAACAAGGCCTTAACCATTTAAAGACCCTTGATATATAGGCAAAAATGTACGATGCTTTTCACCCACTTTATAATTCAATTATTGTTGTGACTCTTACACTGAGGTTTTTATGCATCATTTTTCTTTAGCTTGAAGGAACTTTTTTTTTTCCCCTGGAGCTTGACATTGAGCTTCAATTTTGAGTACCTACTTGATTACTGTAAAATGGCTTTCACTCTGTTACTCCCTTGAATTATATTGCTTGTATTTTGTGGGTTATGGTTAGTTGTGAATTGTTCTTATATTAGGTTAGAGGTGGCTTTGGAGAATATGGGTTTTACTTCCCTCTTTCCAGTGCAAGTTGCAGTCTGGCAAGAGACAATTGGACCTGGTTCCTGTGAGCGAGACCTTTGTATAAATTCACCAACTGGAAGTGGGAAGACGCTAGCCTATGCTTTGCCAATAGTGCAAATGCTGTCAACTCGTGCAGTTAGATGTCTTCGTGCTTTAGTGGTGTTACCCACACGTGATTTAGCTGTGCAGGTTATACATTCACCTTTACTTATCGATTTCCCATTTTTGCACATCTTTTGGTGATTCTACTTGAAGGGATATTGCTGCCATCAACCTCTCACTCAAACACATGCACTTGCACATATTGGGCATGTATCTTTTCTTCATTATGTGTTAATTCTCATCTCATAATCATGGAACTATCTGTGTTTTTTCCCCCTGAGCTTGAGTTAGATATATGAACTCGCAATTGTCTTGCCGTATCAAAGTTGATTGAACAATTTATAACCTTAAGAATATGTTTGAGTACTGTTGTATTTGTTTTGTTTTTAGTTGTTTGTTAAAATTCACGAGAAAATACACTGATTTTCGTTACATTTATAAAGACACATCTCATGTGATTGAGATAGGTGTTTTCTACATGCAAATCTGTATGCATGTTTTGGAATTGGTGTTCTGATCATTATATCATATGGTGTTCCTAGTGAACTTCTAAAGCTTTGTTCATTGGATGTGGGACATTATAAGGTTGATGGCTAGATAGACTGTCAAAGGATCGTTTTAATTAAACTGCCATTGCCTAATGGCTGTCCTAGCAATTCGAGGCACTGGAAGGTTAGAATACTATGCACCTGACCTCCACTTTTTATTTGCACAAACTAGGTGAGATTGGTGTTGGATCCTCCTCTCCGTGATTTTCAGCTTGAGCTTTTACTATTCACCATGAAAAAGGGGACCATTTTAACTAATAAAATGAAAGAGGGATGAAAGACTATATTGTCTATCAAATTTTAAATTTTTTTTGGTCCTGCCTACAAAATTATATGCAGATGCAAAAGAGGGAACATGTTTGTGAATTGGTATGAGATTCACATGTTTTGAAAAAAATGGGATGGGATGTAATTTTAGTGATATTCCTAAGAAATGTATGAGGTGAGGGTGTTGCGAGGTGGAGTGGGAAAAATTAATGAAGCTTATTTTAGAAATGAGCGATTTAATAAACAAGGGAAGGAGCATTAACGATAAATCTGGAAGTACATAAGAGAGTGTTTGAACAAGGGAGGAATATTTAAAACAATTAAAACATGTTCCTTAAGGTCCTTCATGGCACTGATGAAAGATGGTGGTAATTGGTGGATTTGGAAAGGGGAGAGGAAGGTATGTAATGTTATTTAAACTTGAGAAATCACCTAAGTTGAAGATGTTTCTTTGGGTCCTTAAATAGGAAAATTGGATTCATGTTGTTGGGTACTCCAAAAGAAAGGGGAGCTCATGTTTCCAATGATGGTTCAACGAAATAGTATGTTGATTTGATGTTTAGTCAATACTATCTTTAGGCTTATCATATTTGTGATTATTTTTTCATTATTTAGTTAGTTCCTTTAATTCATTTATTGTGATCAGTTCAACATCTGCCCCTTTTTTTATTTTTTTGTCTGACTTCTGCAAATTCTATATTGTGATGATCTGGTAATAAATGAAGTACAAATATTCTAGACCAACTAGGACTGCAAATAAAATTCAAGTAACGTTACTTGACCCACTTTATGATCCATGCACTATAACTACTACTCATGGTCAACAATTATTGCAATTACCAACCTCCAACTACGAAAACCTAATATAATGACATAAATCTGTTCAGTAGTGTACTAGATTATAATAAACACAAATAAAGACTTAAAATTTTCTAAATCTTCACTCCATGATGTCCTAATTGTGTTCCATGTGAAATTCTAGATTTACCCCTTGTTCTTTCCTTACTCACAATCACATTGATCTTTTGAAAAGCAAGTGGACTAATGTGAATGTTATGAATACTAGAGGGGAATTGTATCAAGGTCTATTTTAATGCTCCATTGAAAGCTATCTATTTCCTTTTCCTTTTTCTTTTTCTTTGGGGGTTTCAGGTTAAGGAAGTCTTTGCTGCTATTGCACCTGCAGTGGGCTTATCTGTTGGTTTGGCAGTTGGTCAATCTTCAATTGCTGATGAAATTTCTGAACTTATTAAGAGACCTAAGCTTGAGGCAGGTATCTGTTATGACCCAGAAGATTTTTTGCTGGATTTAGAAAGTTCAGTGGACATTTTGGTGGCTACTCCTGGCAGGCTGATGGATCATATAAATTCCACGAAAGGTTTTACACTTGAGCATCTTTGTTATCTGGTAAGAGATTGTGTTGATTTCACCTTTCACATATAATTCTGATGTAACTTTTATTCCCTGCAGCATTCCATTTTCTGAAAATAATGGTTTCAAATATGTTATATATTTCATCAGATTGGAATATTTTGTTAATGACTCAAGTGTTTAATGGATTTCTATTGATTAGCTGTATCTCAACTTATAAAGCGAGTTTATTTCCTACAAGCAAGCTTTAGTCAACTTGGATTTACATATTTTGGAGTTGTGCTAAATACTGTCATTAAGTTAATGAACCTATATTTGTTTACATATTATGCTGCTGCAGTTGGATTACAATTTTATGATTTTTCCAGAGTCCATACTTAAAATTCGTGATACCACCAAATGCTTCTGTCAATGTGTTTCATAAATTGCAGTCGTCATCGCTTGTCCTTCTGGTGGTATCTTATTGCTGTGATGGTTGATCAATGGAAGAACAAAAAATTATAACGAACAAATTGAACTTCAGCAATCAAAAGCATTGTGTTTAACATCCATTGCTTTTAATTTGAATTTTCTTTAGAAAACAATCTTTTGACGAGGTCAATTTTTCAGGTTGTTGATGAAACAGATCGATTACTCAGGGAGGCATACCAATCCTGGCTGCCTACTGTTCTTCAATTAATCCAATCTAGTGTTGGAAGTCTCTTCCCTCATGCCAACACTTTCTTTTCTTCCCCATTTGGTTCCTTGAAAACCATAAGGAGATCGTGAGTTCTAATTCCTTTTACTTCCTTTCTTGTAGTAATTAAAATTTTGTCAGCATTGGGCATGACCACAGGCATGGTTGTAATTGGTCAGTGACAATAGTATTGCTTGGTATTGCATGCTTTGGATACACCTGCAGATGAAACTGCAGTCAGGTATCCATGATCCTATCATATATGGCAACTGTTGGTTTACTGGTGAATTGCCAATTATGGTGGTCTTCACTCTTCAGAAACCATGATAAGCAATGGTCGAATGTGTGTTTCATACTCTTGGAAATTTTGTGGACTAAACAATTTGTATTGGAACCCACAGATGAGTTTAATACCATACTGATACTTAAAATTGTCCACTAGGGATCTTTGAGACTCATGGATACTTTGATATCATTGTTTTACGACTGGATTAAAGATGGGGAGTTTCAGATCCTTGTAGGCATTTGTGGAGACTTACTGTTTCTTCAATTTTCCAGTTTAATTTTTGTTCAAATGTTCGGTGAAGTATTTCTTTCCCATGTGACAGTTAGCTTGTACTTATAATTTATTTTAATTTGTTGTAGTGGTGTTGAAAGGGGATTTAAGGGCAAATCTTACCCTAGGCTTGTGAAGATGGTTCTATCTGCCACGCTAACCCAAGATCCAGGCAAGCTTGCCCAGCTTGATCTGCATCACCCTTTGTTGTTGACAACTGGGCAAAGACGTTATCAGCTCCCTGAACAACTAGAATCTTTCAAATTGGTATGATCTCATTACTATACTAGTAAATATGTCATACTTTGTATAAATGCTTTTGGTCATTTTAAATCTCGTGGGTTGTAACATGTGCTCTTTACTGCATTCGCATTTTGGCTGTATGATTCGAATGTAGAGTTGTTAATGAGGTGAGTTGAGCTAAGTAGTGGGTAGCTTAAGTTTGGCTTAATGAACTTGAAACTTAAGTTTGAGCTCAGCTCATTTATTTTATGAGCAATCTCAACAGACCTAGTTAAACTAACCTTGGCCCGAGCTTGGGATACCTGATAGGCTTATTGAGCTCAATAAATTAACAAATTAATGATGATGCTTGGCTTGTTTATCTCATGAGCAATCATGAGTTAACCTCTGATTGAGCAAATCATGGGCCAAGCTTAAGTAGCTTGATTTATCTTGCAACCCTTATTGGGTGTGTAAATAAGACCTGCAATGGCAGAGATGCCAACCAAAGAGCAACTTCTGTCAAAATTTGAGAACTTTTGCTTTTGACCAAAAAGTTTGTTTTCTTTTAATGCATTGTGAGTCAAGACTCAAATTTATTTTGGCATCATGTACAAAAAACTATTTATTTTAATGCATTGGGAAAATTATTCAGGCACCATGTATGAGAAAAGGTTGCAATTTAGAAAGTTATGCTGCTAAAGCTTGTCATTTTGCTTGCATGCTGATCTTTTAAAAATGGAGTCATAACTCTATTCATGACACAAGGTTTTGAATCAAAATGTCTATTACAGTTGTTGGTTTGGTCATGTTTAAAATAGAAGCTAAATCTGTAATTCCTGAACATTATTTGTTGAAGTGGTTTTGATTTTGAAAAACTGAAATCAAGAAGCATTGGTATGGCTTGAGATCATATCAAAGATGTGCAAGTTCTTGAGTCTCTGCAAATCTACATCCTTAATTGGGTGATCTGTTTTCTTTATTCTGATTAAATTTAGTATGGCTTGTCCACCTTGAATCTCATTTTTGGCATGAATTTTTATGGTTACTAAAATCAAATGGCACATCAAATTTATTTGAACAGACGGATATTTTGTTGTTTTGTCTCTTATTGTTTTTATTTTTTACTTTTGGTTTTCATTTATGTTTTTGCCTTTTTTTTTTGTTTATATTTTTTAGGACTTGGCCTAAGTTCAATAACTTCACAACCTAAATTTCATACTTCTTATATTACCATAGTTTTATGATTTGATACTCATTGAGGAGACTATTGTGCTAAGAGTAATTTTTATTTAGTTGTAACATACAGCATTTTGTATAAGATGGAATGGAGATTGGTTAGCTAAGAACTATGAAGCACCACCACTTCAAAATAGGTGCCGTAGCCATGTCGGACATGTTTAAGACACAAACACGGCTGGAATAAGGATGGGAAACAACATTTTCTATGAGACTTAATGGAGATTGGTTAGATAAGAACTATGAAGTATTGACACTTCAAAGTAAGTGCTGTAGTTGTGTTAGAAGCATTTTTTTAATAATATTTTTTGGGGGACTTGTCAGGTCATGCTTCGAGACACAACAGGGTCATTTTAATTTTTCAAATCTAATTTCGGGGGTTTTAGTATAATATTTGGAAACATGAGGGTTGAATTTAAAAAATAAAAAATAAAACTCATATCAAACCATTGACAATGCAACATAGATCTAAATACAATTGTGAAGTTGAGAGAAAGGCTTTTAATAATTTCTGGAATGTGTAATGCAATTATGCAACACAAATCTAGTATTTGGCTTATTTAAATCTAGTTTTGTTTGTTTTTTTTAATGGTAGTTTCATTAGTTTTGATTATTTATGGATGTAATAATATTAATATAAATAGCAAATAAAATATATAATTTTTTTTTTGACATATCCCTATTGTGTGTGTTTGTGTCTATATATGTATCCGTGCTTCCTAGGTTAAGAATCAGGAATGTGTAATGCAATTATGCAACACAAATCTAGTATTTGGCTTATTTAAATCTACTTTTGTTTGTTTTTTTTAATGGTAGTTTCATTAGTTTTGATTATTTATGGATGTAATAATATTAATATAAATAGCAAATAAAATATATAATTTTTTTTTGACATATCCCTATTGTGTTTGTGTTTGTGTCTATATATGTATCCGTGCTTTCTAAGTTAAGAATCATGGACATAGACACGTCCACATGTAAATTTTCAAAAAATGCGAGACACGACACATGGAAGACAACCCCCTCCCCCTCAAAAAAAAAGAAAAAAAAAGTGTATGTTATATATATATGATTATTTAATGTAACATAACACTAATTAAAATTGAATAACATATTCCATAGCATAATAATCACAATCTGTATTACATGGACTCTTCTATATCCCCCAGAGTACTCGTGTCCACCAGATATTATATGGGTAAGGGTGTGGGATATGTGTCCAATACTCATATCTAATTTAGACACTCGGATCCTTTATTTTGTTGAAATATATAAAAAATAAAAAACTCACATTTGCTAACAAAACAATATTTTTAGCCTCACATGAATTAGATATAGAACTTTATATTGTTCTTGAATCCTATTTAATTTCTAATATATTTCTACACAATTTACAATATCTCATTTGAGAATATTTTATAATGTGCAATATATATAAGTGTGTATATGACGCGTCACCGTGCCCATATCCAATTTTGGATATGTATCCTAAGATCCTAATATTTAAATTTATGAATGTCTAACGTTTGGATACACACACACACCTAATACTCATATACTAGACCATCTTATAATATAACAAATTTATACCTACAATCACAATAGTGTATCTTGTTACATCAATATAAGGGTTAAATACCTTTTTAGTCCCAAAGTATCGGGTTTGTGTCATTGTTGTCCCCAATGATTAAATTGTGTTAATTTAATCTCCAATGTATAAAAATGTTTCGATTTGGTCCTCTAACCTAACTTCGTTTTAGATGTCGTTAAAGTTAGGGGTAAATGTGCAAATTTAATTAAAATGATTACTCTTTTAAGTCCCCAAAGTTTGCAATCTGTGACATTTTGGTCCCTAATATTTAAATTGTGTCAATTGTCGGCAATATATGAGAAAGTGTTTCGATTTGGTCCCCTACGTAATTCCATTTTCTTCTCCCTTCTTGTCTGAAATAGGGGTAAAATGTGAAAAACCATAAATATTGAACGGGAAATAACAAATCAGTGGGTTTTCAAGAAAAAAAAAAAAAAATTCTGATTAATGGTAAACTTTGTAAACTTCAATGATTAAAATTATAAACTTTTCCATGATTCTGTAATTATTTTGAAAAAATAGGGCTGATTTGTAATTTCCCCAATATTAAATACATATAATCAAAAAATGAAAAAAGAGCCAACATCTTTGGAGGGAAATATTCTTGCTACTGTAAGAAAATGTAACTGTTGCGATCCCAAAAAAAAAAGAAAAAAATTTTTGTTGCCCAAAGCTTACTTTCCACGATGAATGAGATCCTCGTCGGTGCCAATTTTTTTTGTCGAGAAGTTTTTTGAGGGGCATTGTTTTGTTGCGATTGTAGTGCATCGTCCAATATATTTTTATATATTTTATACTTATTGAATGACATGAATATTTCCCTCCAAAGATATTCTCTCTTTTTACCCGCTTTTTGCTGATATGTATTTTATGGCTTTCATGCTTTACCCTTGGTTCAAATGAAGAGAGACAATTAGATTGAAGGATCAAATTGAAAACTTTTTATACTTTAGGGACTAAATTGACACAATTTAAACATTGATGACCAAAATTTAACTGGAGGTTTGCCTAGTCGTTAACTTCAGGGCCCCAGGATTAGTCGAGGTGTGTGCGCGTAAGTTGGTCCGAACACTTGGTTATCAAAAATTTAAATATTGAGGACCAAATGACAGCTCTTGTTATGGGGATTAAAAGAGTAACTTTTTAATTGAATTTTCATATTTACCCTTTGCTTTAAAGGCATCTACAAATGAAGGTTGGTTGGGGGACCAAAGTGAGACACTTTTTATCATTAAATTGTGAACTTAAGAGGGATTTTAGCTGATTGGTCTATTTTTAAATGTGAAACTTTTCACCTTCCAAAAGATTGTTAGTATTCCCCAATAAATTGTTGCATGGAGGTTCAATGAGCATTTTCCTCCCAATCTTCTGTGCAGATATGTGAATCAAAGCTTAAACCCTTGTATTTAGTAGCCCTTCTCCATACATTGCAAGGGGAGAAGTGCATTGTTTTCACATCGTCAGTGGAGTCAACCCACAGACTCTGCACCTTACTGAACTTCTTTGGTGATTTACAAATCAAGATCAAGGAATATTCGGGTCTTCAGCGTCAGTTCGTAAGAAGGTAATATCTGAGTTAGTCTACTTGATCGGTAATATTTATACATGTAGTTCACGTTTAATTCATTCATTTCTCTATACATGATTACAATTTTTGTCCTGAACTGTGGATGCTTTTGTGTTATAGAACATAGAAGCATGTGGTCCACATGAATGGGGGTGGACTAATACACCACAAAATAGCATTGCCACATCCAAAGACCAAAAGGGATCGTATAATTGTTTAATTTTCATATCTCTAGCTAATGAAAGCCTGAAGTCTGACTCTTATAAATTGTTTAATTTTGTATTCAAGAATTTATATGGCCAGTCTCTACCCAATACTAGGTGCCATTGGCTATAAAATACTACATTTTTGTGGGCATTGACTATCTGCACACAGGGCATGAGCAATTTTGTTCAAATTCATAGGCCTCGTTTGGAAACCCTCTTTTTTAGCCAAAAAGCCAAAAAGTTACTAAATTAGCCAAAAAGTCAACAACTCATGCCAAAAAGTCAAAGATTCTCTTTCTCTCTACTTTTTGTACATCTTTTCGTAAAAAGCCAAAAAGTCATCCCAAACATACTAGTTTTTTTTAGCTCATATTTTAGCCAAATAGCTAAAAAGTTACTAAATTAGCCTGTTCCCAAACGAGGCCTAAAAATTTGATTTGCTCACTTTTTGTGTGTATACGCATGCCTGTGCGTTTTTCCATACACATTAGCTAGTGTACAAGAAAAGGAGTCTGATGTTTTGTATAGAAATATGGCATTTTGGGTTATCAGTGATTGAAGAATTCTTTTAAAAGGTGTCGTGTGTATATTTCCTTTATTTTAATTGCTAACTAATGGAAGATGAAAGGTCTTCAATTATATGGGTGCTGTTATCTTAGACTTAGAATTGCTTTCCACTTGAAGTAGAAAATATCAGTCAGGGTTAATATATTAATGTAAATGATAAATTATTATTGTCAGAGCTTTCATAATTTATGTTGGACGGAAAATAGGGAGATAAAGAACATTAAATTATATGGACTGCCCCACATTTTTTACCTTTTTAGTGTTTTTTTGGGCTAAAATATGATGTGAAAAAAATTGATGTGTTTGGGAATGGCTTTTTGACTTTTTATGAAAAAACGTGCAAAAAGTAGAGAGAATGAGAATGAATCTTTAACTTTTTAATATGGTTTTTTGGCCTTTTAGCTTTTTTAGTGGCTTTTTTACTTTTTGGCTAAAAACTTCACTTCCCAAACACACCCTTAGTGTAATGCTGTATAAATGGTAGGTCAGCAGGGTAAAATTGTTCTATGGGAAGTTGGGAACACTAGTTCTCTAACTTTTGAAGCACATGTCCAACCTTTGGCTTCTCTTATTTCTGATTGTCATCTGTAATCTTTTATGCTATAAACCTCAAGCTTAATCATGAATTAGTCTAAACCAGATTGAAATCTAATGAGAGTGAAAATTTGCTCTGTAGCAAGACATTGAAGGCATTCCGGGCAGGGGAAATAGAAGTACTTGTTTCTTCTGATGCAATGACTCGTGGAATGGATGTTGAAGGGGTGAGAAATGTCATCAACTATGATGTGCCTACATATATAAAGACATACATTCATCGGGCTGGGAGGACTGCAAGAGCGGGCCAGGCAGGACGTTGCTTTACGCTTCTACGTAAAGAAGAGGTATGTTGTCTGTTTAAAGTGCGCGGAGGAACCTTTTTTTCAGTTAAAGAATCAAATTTTGTCCATTTTGTATAGTTGGACTTTTGGGAGTGGTAAACCAATTTGTTGAGCAATTTTTTAGATTTTTGTGATCATTTTTTTCTAGGAAGGAAGTGTATCGAAGGCTTTTGTCTAGAGAGGTGTCTACGAGGCTTATTGTTCCTGTAGTTGTTTTGGGTTACATCCCCTTCAATCTCTAATAAACTTTTCATTTTCACTCCCTCTATCCTTTTGACATTGTACATGTTGAAAAGTGATGTTTATTCAAATCATATACGTCATTTTTCATTTGTACAAGTATAGAAAGTATAAATAACCATTTTGGCCATCGAAGACTTCAGTTGGGTATTGCGGGTTGTTTTTATTTTTAGTGGAAATCATTCCATTTCTTGGTTGGACTCGTGTATTATTAAGCCGGGAGAGTAGAGCAAACTGAGGTCACTTGACCATAAAGAAACTCTCAAAATATTCCAATAATGTGGAGATTTTGCATTTGTTTTCATCTTTGAACACTAAGATTTTGAAGCAAGGATGTGTCAATTTTAAAATTAAAAAAGTGAGTTACAAATATTCACAATACCTCTATTAAGCTTTGCTCTTTTTGCTTTATAGTTTCTTTCTTTATATTTTTTTAATTCTTTTGTAAGTGTTGAAAAGTTGAACCTTACTCTATAACTCTCCATACCTCAATCATCCTAAGATGCAAGTTGATGATTACATCACAATGGAGGAAAGTAGGAGTAGTTTTTCATAATGTTTGATCTTTCTTAACTAAATTAAAATAGAATTAACTTTAGATTGTAGATGATTGATCTGAATTAAATTTGTTGAAATTTTTACTCGATGAAAAATTATATATTTGAAAGCATTAGTTATCTGGTAAAATATTTTTGCAATAGTATTAAAGATTTAGGATTCAGTCCCATTGTCATTCAAATTTCTGGAACTTATGGATAGGAAAGGCTAACCCCCACTGTAAAGCTCACAAACATTACCATTAAATTTGTACATATATATGCACACAGTTGTGGAATCTGTTGTTTAGTTTTTGTTAGTGTCAGATTGATTTGCAATTTGGGTTTTACTTTCATTAGTTTCTGAATTGGAATTGATTTAACATCGAGTTTTATTATTTGAACTATTATCATCTCTATATATAATTACTTCTTAAACAAATTGCATAGGTTCATTTTTTAAGGTTTTTCTTTCCATAAGTTGTAAAATTAAAATAAATAGCTTAGTATCTGTAACATATATATACAGTGTCAGTATCTAACAAGAAAGTATTTGTAGTTAATTATGTATAATTAAAAGCTGATATTACTTCCATAATTTCCCACTTGAAAAAATATCTGGCTCTGTAACTGTTGTTAAGGTTAGAGATGCTTAGGGTAATTTGAATATGAAAAGCTTAATTTAAAATTGATTTTTATTGCTTCTTAGTATTTTATTGGCACTGATCTCCAGATCAATTACTGTCATATTTTTGTGCATGTGACCTAAAAGAGTTACAGGGCACCTAGTGTGGTGCTGCTACTTAGAAATGAGGTTTTGCTGACAAAAAGAAATGTGAATGAGAGGAGAAATGGTATTGCTTTGAGATAGGTCTCAACATAACTCTTTTTGTACTCATCCTTTGGTTAAAGTTGGAGAAGTCACTGACTCTTTCTTCTCTTTCAGGTTAAGCGATTCAAGAAGCTGTTACAGAAAGCTGACAACAACTCTTGTCCTGTTTATTCTGTTCCTTCCGATTCCATAGAATCATTTCGCTCCACATACACTTCTGGTAAATTTTTTGTCTTATTTTTAGTTATAGGCCATGAGAACAGGATTTATTTACAGCTTCAATTGGTACCAATTAGATATGTTTAAAGGCCAGTCACCCAATGGGTATAATGTTCCTTTGTTTTCCCTACTAAGAAACGGGAGAATGTTACTGTTTGATCTAAACAGTCATTGAAAGCTGCTAAAAGGTTCTGTAACTGCTTTCAAAGATTGGAATTGGTAGTTTAAAGTTAACTAGACTTACTTTTAGGCTGTATTTGGTTGGGAGAATTTGGGAAGGGATTTGAAAAGGAAAAGGAAAAATGTAGGTGAAATACGTACATTTTACTTAGTTTCACACACCTTTTCCCTTTCTCTTTCCACATCTGTTCCCAAATTCCCAACCAAACACAGCCTTAGGGTCTGCTTGGATAGATTTGGATTTCAAATCAAGGGATTTGACCTTAATCATTCAAAACAATAACTCAATTTTAGATATGATCGATTATGTATGAATTTCAAGATAGAGCTAAATAGCTTTATCATGATGGATTTGAAATAATTATAAAACTAGTTATTTGAAATTAATCTGTTAGTTTTATTCCTGTTGTAGATATTTTTATTTTCTGTTGTTATGTTTATGTTGAATGTGGCTTTAGTTTTCCGTGGATTAGCATTAGATGTTTTGCCAACACTTTCCCTTGTTCTTGTCAATGTGTCAGCTCTGGAGAAATTGAAAGAGAGTGTCAAATCAGAAACATACAGGAAGCACAAGTTTAAATTCAAATCTTCTGGTATGGTTAAAGGAAAGGAAAAAAATTCGAAGGTGTGAATTTTGTTTTTCTAGCAGGAGTTCTATTCCATAACGAGTTGAATTTTGTAGTGTATATGAGGTGAGTCCCAATTTTTTGGTATAAGTTGTACACTTTTGATTAATGTTGTTAATGACTCTATTCAACTTGCTGCCTAGAAATTATTAGCCTTTGAACTAAGTCTAGAGAATGTTATATGGAAGAAGATAAAACCCTTTTGATATTTGTTTGTATAGTACTCCTTGAGAAGGATTTGTTTGTATAGTACTGCATGAAAATTCACTTCAGTGTGTCCAACCCCCCAGCATGTGTTTCACACTAGCTGTTAATTTGGATGGAATACTTGATGGTGCATTTTAGTCCACAAACCCTAAAGGAGGTTATGTGATTATTTCCAAATGATAACGGACAATCTGCACGTAGACCAAACCGCATGGGGTAAAGTGAAATTTTTTCAAAGAAAGAAGTTGCCATAATCATCAATAATCACCAAAAATACAAGAAGGAAAAAAATGGAACAATACTGAATTTGCTTGTATGTTTGGGTTATGGCATCCCCAAATTTGTTTTTTTCTAAATGATGACTCACATACCTTAAAAAAATTATTATGTACCATATAAAAGCTGATATACTATGTTCTGTATGTGGTGCCATGATTGGGTTGTTTGTTTTACTTCCTTTTTATTTTGTGAAGAAGAAGAAACTATTGAAAATCTTAAAATAAAATAAATAGGTAACAAGGAAACTTCCACCACTTATATTATTGGTTTTGGGTTTTCCTAATGCTAATCAAATATATAAAACTGGACTTTGTTTTGGTAATGGAAATTTTGGCCAAGTGGAATGTTATATATAGAAAGGTAAGTGGTTAATGTCATATTAGAACATTAATTATTTTAGGAATCTTCAATCAGTGGAAAGAATCAGGAGTTGATTTATATTTAGAAGCCTCATTATTCATCTATTTATAAGATTGCCACCATAGTTTGTGGTTGAGAACAACAATACACTACATATATAACACAACATATGTATAAAAAAGTATGTTGGGGAGGTGGCACTTGTCAGGTTCTCATGGGGCGACCCTCACACCGTCCTTTCACGCACATGTATATGTTTTAGCAAGGAACAAAACTTCGTATATTCTCCATCGAGAAGGCCGAATGTTTTTGTTTCCTAAGAAATCGAAACGAAACATTAATTAGAATAAATTGTCTTGTTTCTACCGGAACACATCGCAACACTACAAAACATATCAAAATGATGAGTTGTTCTGACACCTATTAGGATTGTCAATAATGGCCATTTCAATTTGCATTTTTGTCAAAAACGCAGATTTGAAAACAAAGAAATATCTGAAAGTTGTTAGAGAATTTGAGAAACTAGAAAAGAGAAGAGGAGAGATGAAGAGGAGAGATAAAGAGGAGAAAATAAAACAAGCATCATCAAGTCACTTATTCTTTCTTTGTTAACATAAAGAAATTTTATTTTATTTTTTTTGTTTTTCTTTCCCCTTCTCTTTTCTGTAATGCTACTAAAATTTTGCATTTTTTTAATTATTATTATTATTTTATTATTATTATTATTATTATTATTATTATTATTATTTTCTTACTATAAAAAAATTCACTTCTAGGCCATTAAACCTTTTGTGTTATGAGTTCCTTATATTCATAGGCCTCAACATATTTGTCAAAGTTGAGGGTGAAAAGAGATTATAAGAATAAGAAAGCCTAAATCTTAGGGCTAGCTCCTCTAATTACTTATATCAAGACCAGTTTGGTACATTGACATAAATAGCCGTAACACTCCCCCTCAAGCTAGTGCATGTAGATCATATGTACCTAAGCTTATTACAATATATCTAATTCGTAAACCATACATTGGTTTTGTAAATAAATTTGCCGATTGGTCCATGGACTTCACGTGTTGTATGAATTGAATGCTGCTGTTATTTCTCTCGAATGAAATGACAATCAACTTCAATATGTTTTGTCTGCTCATGAAACATTGGATTAGAAGCAATGTTAACAGTTGCGTGGTTCCTACCTAAAAAAACGAAAAAACAGATGCGTGGTTGTCGCACATATATTCATTAATGTTCAAACTCAAGTTTTTCTAACATTTGCTTCAATCAAACCGACAAGAAGTAGTATAGGCCATAGCTCTTTATCCAGACTCAACACTTGACTAGGAAACATGTTTGTTTCCTACTCTTCCATGACACTAAATTAGATGGAGACCCAACCCAGTGTATAACCCTTAACTATGAAGCACCGACACGTTCCAAGGCTCTGCGTACGAGTGTCGGACACGGACACGCGTCGGACACGCGGTAGACACGTGTTCGACACTCTCTCTAACGTGTCTCTTTTTTTTTTTTGAAATCTTCCAGTCGGACACGCCATGGACACGAGGAGAGAGAGAGAGAGAGAGAAACCTGGTGCGATCTGCCTTCGATCTCTGTCTCTCGCCTTCGATCTGCCTTTGATCTCTGCTCACGATCGACCTCTTGCCTTCGATCTCGATCTGAACTCATCGATGTCCACGACTCAGCTCTTGTCGCAGTCGAACTTGTCAAAGATGGAGTCGTAGAGACTCGTCAGCTCCTCCGGCGGCGTCGCCATGTCCTCGCCTTCGATCTGACTTCCTCTCTCTCTCTCTCTCTCTCTCGTCGTGCGTCTATGTCCCTCCCGTTTTCAACCATAACAATATAATTTGTTATATATAAAATATATATCTCTAATTTGTTATATAAAATATATATCTAATAAATTATATTAACATATTTGTTATTATAATATTAAACGTGTCCCCAACGTGTCGTGTCCCCTATTTTTTGAAAAATTGCGTTTTTGCGTGTCCGTGTCGTGTCCCGTGTCCGTGTCCGTGTCCGTGCAACATAGACCCTTAATATGAGTATCACTATGATTTTGATGTAGTAGACCACAATTAGGTGCACTCCTAAGGTAACTCAAAATGTGCACAACAACATCCCAGTGAGAGGTTCTAGGCCTCGTTTGGGAACAGGCTAATTTAGTAACTTTTTAGCTATTTGGCTAAAATATAAGCTAAAAAAAACTAGTATGTTTGGGTGACTTTTTGGTTTTTTACGAAAAGATGTGCAAAAAGTAGAGAGAAAATAGAATTTTTGACTTTTTGGTATGGGTTGTTGGCTTTTTGATTTTTTTAGTGACTTTTTGGCTTTTTGGCTAAAAAAGCCACTTGCCAAACGAGGCCTCAGAGTATCCAGAAATTTGACTAGCCATTGTTACTTCTAGACAGATGTCTAGTCTAGTGTCAAATAATTCAAGTTTCTCACCAGTTGACGATATTGTCCTGGGTCAGGTAATAACTCACTTAATCTACCATGAATTTGGTGTTAGGATCCATAGGAGTATTGATAGGTTTAGATCCCAATATTCCTGTCTCACTTGATAAGTTATTCTATGACAAAGAGATAACCATGATCTAGCCACTTCAATGCCCAAAAAAGGCCCCAATTGTCCCAAGTCTTTAGTATGAAACTTATAATTCTTGAACATCGTTATAATAGTCCCCTTTCAGAGAAGGAGATTAGTTATAGAGCTAATGTCTGAAGATGTCTTATGTTTACCTTAATGAACAATTGGCACCAAAGCTCGCCTAATTGTTGCGATAATATAATTGTTTGTTTCAAAATAATTGAAAAGATAGGACAATATTTTTGATAGTTATGAAAGCTTTTCATTAATTTCGTGATGTAATTGATTATAACATATTAATTGATATTTCCTTATGTATTGAATGTGTATGGTTAAAGCATTGATTGTTCTCAGGGTTTAGGGAAAAGCTACTGGTACACACCCCAAAGGGGTGCATTCAGTCTGCACCCAAAATTTCAGCGACAATGATTTGTAACTTCCACCACTTTGTGTCATTATCAAGACCATATTGATTCATAACCAAAAACACCACAAAAGCCTCGTAACCAAGGTCACCTCGGTTCATAACCAAACACCACAAACTCTCATAACCAACATAAAATCTCATAACTAAAGCCACTTTGGTTTGTAATTCATAATCAACCACCACAAATTTGACCACCATGTAGCTTCATAACTAAGTATTGACATGATTCATAATCAAGACAACAAAGCTTCATAACTAGGGAGCATAGTACACATATTTTAAGGGGTGTATACCATAGAATTAGCCTAGGGTTTATATTGGTAATGCTGATATGGGTTGATTATAACTGAAATCCATATTCTATTGAATATAGAAGTGGCATAATAAATTGGAACCCTGTGACTGATTAATGTCTTGTTCAACTGTTGTATCATGTATCTTTTAAAAAGGGAAAGGTTAGGGAACGTGCCTAATAGCAGGATAAATAAAAAGGGTAGTACTTAAATTTTTTGTCCAATCATAAAATTCAAATTAAGTTGGACTAAAAAAATTCCATAACGACTGCTGACCAAACCAAACCAAGCCAAGTCAAGCCAAGCCTTAAGTCTCATCAAATGGGGTCGACTGCATGAATCATTCTCCACCACTTGTTTCTATTCAAGGCCATTTCGTTAGTCAAATTAAAGAGATTCATATCTCTATTTACTATACTAATCCACGTCAATTTAGGTCTACCCCTTCCCCTAACACTACCATCTATCGTCACTGTATCGCATCTCTTCACTACTGCCTCTGTTGGTCTCCGTTGTATATGACCAAACCATCTCAATCTATTCTCTTTTAATTTATCTTCTATCAGTACTATTCCTATCTATTCTCGAATATACTCATTCATAATTCTGTCTTTTCATATTTAGTAGCAGATTGGCTTCATGTAGAGGTGATTGGAGAAGCATATTCATGTAATTCATCTTAAATAATTGAATTCATGCCTCCTAAGTTGAGCATTCTGCATTAGAATGTTGACCTCCATTCCAGGATGTGTGTTCTGGCTGATAGTTTAAACCTACATTCATTGTGATATTCCACCATTAGACAACTCGCACCAGTTTAGCTTGTAATTTCTTTGAAGGTGTTGCTACTGTCAAAGTAGGCTTTGACAGTTGCAGCAATAAAATGGAAGTTGTGACTTGCTCATGTAGCTTAGCTGCACTTGCAACAGGTTTACCCAATTTTTTGATTTCTTGGCATCTATATATGTATGTACAAACATATATATAACAAATATATGATTGTGGATTTTGTTCTGCTGTTTGGTCTTAGACACTCTAATTGAGTTATTGATATCATCTTGATAAGAAATCAACTAAATTGAGACAACAATAGTATGCATGT